GGAGCTGTTTCTCGGGCCAATGAAATGACGTCTTTGTGGGTAATGAGATGTACAACCTGCCCTCACCCAATGCTGTATTAACTGTGAACGCACCAGGGAATTTGCCTCAAAACGAGCATCTGATCTGGTGATGGAATTTCCATATGTCAAGGTTCACATACCTGTCCCCTCACCCACTCTCAACCTCCCGATCTTGTGACCACTCTGTCACATTTCTGCCAGATTCTTTCAGTAATGTCACTGACAAAGGTAAACTTTCCTTTTCCATTCTTCTCAACCTGTCTGCGCCCTTGGACATGGTGACCACCCCATTTCCGTCCAACCCGTCTCTACTGTATTCCACCTGGGTGGGATTGCTTGCAACTCTTTCCATTCTTATCCATCCAATCATAGTAAAAGAATCCCTTGCACTTATTTCTCATCCTGCTCCTGCATCTTTACCACGGGTGCCTCCCAATGAATTATCATTGACAACTGCTTTCCACATAGATGATGCTGCTTCCTGGCATCATTTGAAAGCAGTATTAGATTTTGCCTCACCACTACTACTCGACTCCTTTGTGATTATAACACATGAAAAGGATGGAGCAGGTCATTTGCTGCATGTCTGGCATCCAGTATTACATGAGAAGTTTTACTCAATTAACACTGGGAGGTCAAAAATCATTGTTGACTTTGATTCCTGCCACAAACTCCATTCTCAGCTCCCAATTTCATCAAACTGGTGAAATGTCTGAGGCTAAATCAGACTATTCATAGCCATCATCTCAAATTTAACCCCAAGATGTGCTGCTGTACCAATATCCATGCCATGACCAGGACAGCCCATTTGCACTTGCAAAAACTCCACCTTGCTTCCACTCAAGAACTGCTGAAACCCTTACCCATGACGTTTCCGTCTTTGAACTTGATCAAAGTGCACTCTAGTTGGCCCTTTGTGAAGAGAGTTCATCCAAACAATGCTTCTCAGACCCTAACCCCCACCTGTTCTGCTCGACCACCTTAGAGTTTGCTGAGCTACCTTAGCTCTCAGCTGATCAATGTACCTATTTAAAAATTTTCCACATTATTTTCAAACTCTCCACAAAGTCATTCACTCTGTATCTCCATAAACCACCATTTGGACCATGTGTATTCCCAATCTAAATTGTCTCACCAATGATGGCTTTGAAACTTCCTCCCTGCACCGCTCCATGTCACTTTCTTCCTTTAAGAGACTTTTGGAAGGCAAGTTCTTGACCTTACAGCTTTTCATCTAGCCCAGTGTAAAACTTGGTTAGAATTCTCTGTCACAAAAAACTGTTGAGCCAAAATATTAAAGACTTTCAAGAAAGACATAGTTCTTAGGACTAAAGGGACCAAAGGATAGGGGGAATAGGGTAGAGTTGAATGATCAGTGACCAGTCATGATCAAATGGAATGGCAGAGCAGGCTCAAAGGGCTGAATGGACTACTCTTATGTTTCAACTGCAGTGCATAAGGAACATGACGTTAATATTGTCCAAGATGAGAGCAACGAGTGCAAACCAAAAAACTGCCACAAAATGTGTTTTTTCGGGAATGCCCAAATTCTGTTATGCTCAAAATACTACTTAAATGCATGTTTTTGAATACAGGTTTATCACTAACACTGGGATACAGTACTGGTGGGAACAGGTCTGTCACTGTATAACACTGGGGTACAGTACTGGTGGGGACAGGTCTGTCACTGTATAACACTGGGGTACAGTTCTTGTAGGGGAAGGGTCTGTCACTGGCATAGTGTACCGTTGGGGACAAGCCCCTCACTTTCTAACGCTGGGCTATAGTACTGGTAGGCACAGATCTGTCACTGTGTAACACTGGGTTACGATACTACTGGGGACCAGTCTGTCACTAAGTAACACAGGTGCAGTTCTGCTAAGGGCAGGTCTGTCAACATATAACACTGGCGTACAGTACTGGTGGGGACATGTCTGTTACCATATGACACTGGGATATAGTACAGGTCGGGACCAGTCTGTCACTGTATAACACTGAATACAGTACTGATGGGGACAGTCTGTCACTTTGTAATGTGTACGGTGCTGGTAGGGACAGGTCCATCTCTGTATAACACTGGGGTACATTTCTGCTCGGAACACGTCTGTCACTATATAACACTGGGGTAATGTTCTGGTTGGGACAGACCTGTCCCTGTATAACACTGGGGTGTAGTTCCGGTGGGGACACGTCTGTCACTGTATACGCTGG